CAAGGACATAATGTTGAAATAATGTCAAGCTGGAAGATTTACTTAGACTCCTGCAACCCTCATTTTAGAGGAGTAAGGGAAGTTGGAGGAAGTGCTCTTTCTCAGACTTTCTGCTGTATATACAGCACCAAAAGCTGAAATAAGCTATTTCAATTTAAGCTATGCAATTGATGTAGCTGACGTTGTGTAGCTTATTTCAGCTTTAGCCCTGCTGTGCAGAAGTGCCCTTACTATATATCTTTGTTAGTTTCTATCATGAGTTTTCATTGGTAAGAACCTCGTCATCAGATAAGTTGGACTGGAAATAACAGAATCCAATATATATAAACAGCAAAAGCAGTTGCCTGTCAATTGTAGAGCCTGTGTGAAAGAAGCTAATTAAGTGGGCTGGATGTGTTTCATTCACAGCCAACGGGAACAGTGGGAGGAAATGCCTGGGACCGGTGTGGGGAGCGAAGGCAATTAAGTGCTCCCCACCCCCTCACACCTAGACCTTCGCACTCCTACCCCCTTCATGCACCATCATCCTGCCGAGACCCCGCACCTCCAGCCGGCTTCTGCATCCTCCCTGTCAACCAGACACCCTATCCCCAGCCTGTTCGCACATCTTCCCTTGCTCTTGCACCCTCTCCCCAGCTAAGGATATTAAATTTAAATTAATCAACTAATCAAATAGTCAATGTAATTTGCATCGATTATTCGATTAGTTGATAAGGGCACCTCTGCCTTTGAAATGTAGCAAGAGCCCAGCTGGCTCTTAAAAGGCCGAAGCGTCACATGGAGCATGGCCAGCAGGGGCCCTTGCCACATTTCAAAAGAGGAAGTGCCGCCTGTTCCCCGCTGCACCCGTGCCACTTCTCCCCATGGAGACAGTGCTGGGGGCAGAACCAGCTTTTAAGTTAGAGGCAGCAAGGAGGGTGAAGCAACTGGTCGAGTCACTAGTTGACTTGTCGCTTACATCCCTACCTCCAGCCAGACGCCCTACTCCCACCCATGCTCCTGCACCCTCCCTCCTGGCCACACACTGTACCTTCCCTTGGTCTTGCCCCCTCTCCCTGGCCAAAACCCCTAATCCTAGCCTGCTTCCTTTCTCCCACCCAGACCTCGCACCCTCACCCCTTCCTGCACTCCACCTCCCACCCAGATCCTGCACCCCATTCCTTGAGTTGGCAGCCCTGTCCGCACACTGAACCCATTTTTGTCCCAACCCCAGAGCCTAGGGTGGTCCACAAAATCTACTAATCATGAAATCCCAGAAGAGTAAATCTGGCCTATGGGAACTCCTTCCCCCTTCCTTTGTGGTGCTGGAGCATTAGAGGAGTGAAGTGTCTCAGTTGGGGGGCCACATGAATGAGGGTTGGGGGGTTTGGAAGGGCACTCACACAGTGTTGGCCTTGCTGAGCAGGTAGAGCAGCAGCAGGCAGAGGCAGCTGAGGGAGCGGGAGGCCATGGCAGCCGCACTGCCAGCCATGATCCCAGAAGGTAATTTCTATAAAACCTTTATTACTGTATAAATTTTTAGTATGTTATAATAAAACAATTTTGCCACCAATTTTTCATTAACCTCTCTTATGCGAACTCATTGCATGATTATTTTGAACTCCTTTATACTGAAAAAAAATTGTAGTCCACATTTACAAAAAAAGCAACTCCCCTCCCCACACAAGTTCTTGTGTATGGGCCTGTATGTGAACAGAGATACAAAGGCAAAATTGTCAGCAAAGAGAGGATAAGATAGGCACGAAAGGCCTTAGGGGGAAAGTCAGTTGAAAATCTTTTATGGATTAAGAATAAAAAGACGGGTAAACTGTTTTTTTGTTTTTTTGCTGAAGTCAGTAATTGGCAATGATATTGCTTGTTTGTTAAAGGATTCATTATTAATACTTGTCTGACCATGTTGGCGCCATGTTGGTGCCAACTGATCTGGGTGTCTAAGCATTCCTGTGCTAGACAAGGACTTAATCCTGTCTGCAAGAACACAGGTTCTTCACCCTTTCCGTATCTGTGTCACCAGGTGTTAGTCAAGTCAAACACAAATGACTGGAACAACTATTTTATTAACACAACACTAAATTTAACAAACATAAAATCCAAATGTCACAAATGAAACATGTCATGAAGCCAGGACCCAAAACCACAAATAATCAAAACTGGGGGCAATACCAAAAACAGGGACTCCATACCTCCATCACAATATTTGGTGATGAAAGATAAGCAGGAGTCCAGGATGGAGAAAAGGGAACTTGAGGCAACAGCACAGAGTTGTAGAGGCTCAGGCAGATGAAAGGTCATCAGTCTTTTTTCTTCTGTCTTCTATTCTTGGCACATTGTGGACAGGAGGACGAATGATGGTAAGTATGCGTGTGTGTATGATTGACAGATCCAGTTGTCTGGCTCTGCTACAATCTCCTAACTTAAAACAAATAAGCCCTGCACCAGCAACCATTACAGGTGTGCGACACAGGGTTGCTGCACTACAGAATACTGTCTCAAACACACTCTCTGTTAGGAGACTACCACTCTCTGTGGTGGCAGCAACCAGGCTCCTACTTCAGTCTATTAAGCCAAACAGCCTGCCCCAGCTGCCTGAAAGGGCCGACAGATAGACTGTCACTCTAGCATGCTGAGTTGCACAGAGGGCACACATGCAGAGAGCTCTGACGGGTGGGTGAACACCCTTTATAAGTCCTCTTTTTGCTGGGCAGATTAGAGTCAAGTGACCCACTTTCCCCACCCTTACCAGGCAGAGGATAGCGACAGGAAAGCTAGGGTTGCCAGGTGTCCAGTATTGACCCAGACAGTCTGGTATTTTTGCTTCCTGTCTGGTAAAAAAAATTAAGAAAATGTCCAGTATTTTCTGATTTTTTTCCTGGTCAAGAGGCGAAAATCCCTGGTGCTTACTGGGTTCTGCAGGGGAGCTGTCCGGTGCAGGGAAACAAGATAGCGGACGGCCGCCAGCAGCCTGTTAGGGCCAAAAAGCCTCAAAAGCATTTCTTAAAGGGGCCATGCCTTTTTTTTTCTTTTTTTTTTTTAATTAATTTCTTTTGCTTAACAACTCTCGGGGTCTTTTTTTTTCTCAACAACTTTGGTCTCCCCGTTTTTTTTCTCAACAGAAATTTCCCCCCAGTGATTTGTTTTTTGGAGGGGAGGAGGGTTGTTCGGTATTTTTGGTTAAACCATCTGGCAACCTTAAGGAAGTCTAACCACTATCTTTAACAGGACAAATCAACATGGTGGGCATAAAAACAGGCACCCCTTTCCTGACACCTGGATACAGCCCAATTATAAACATGTTGATCAAATGTTTAGAATAATTTGTTATTTTTAGGTGCATTAGCCTTTTTAGCAGAGCTGACCCTGCCAATTTTTGTGCCTTACTCAAGCTGAGCATCTGCACCCCCACACTTGGTGCCTTTAGGGAGGGGAGGGCTGCACTCAGGGTTGCAGAGCCATATGTGAGGGGTAGGGCAGGGAGATGGCAGGGATTGAGCCCATCCCCCCCCACTCACCAGCAGTGGAGGGAAACTGATCCCAGCCCACTCCGATCATGCTAAGGCAGACCAGGGCAGGATCCAGCCCACCAAGCCACCAGATCCGGCCCGCAAAGGCAGTGGGGAACCCTAGGTAGGGGGAGCTCCCCTGCTTGCCCCTCAGCCCCATGCGACATGCAAAAACGCGGCTGCCGGGCTTAGTTTCTGTTTCAAAACTGGAGGGGAGGAAGGAAGCTTTAGGAGTCGCCTCTGCCCCCAGCACAATCCCATTGGCCAGTTTCTGGCCAGAATAATGGGCAGCCAAGAAGAAGCATGGCCACCTCTCCTCAGCTCAGTTATTCACTGAAGCAAGTGGCCAGGCAAGCAGGCTGGCTGGGGAATGTTCTAAGCTCTGCAAGCCTTAGCTCTGCAGGCAGACAGGCTGGTTTGGCTCCTGGCAGGGAAGTTTCCTAGCCACAGCCTGCCTCTGGCACCCCAGTCCCTTCCTGTGCCCACCCTCCCCCCCCCACTTAACACACCCAAACCTTCTGTCCCCTCTTGCACCCATACCCTCTTCTAGATCTGGCACCTCAATCTCCTTGCCTAGATCACAATCCCCTTCTACCTTAGGTCACATCCCAACCCCCTGCACTTCAGTCCCCTGCCCTATGTCACAACCACCTCCTTCACCCAAATTCCCTCCCAGGCTCCCTCCTGAATCGTAATCCCTTAGCCCAAGCTCCCTTCTGCACTCAACCTCCATCCCAGCCCCTGCACATCCTCCATTAATATCAGGGAAGAGCGCAGCCCCCAAACACGTCTCAAAATCTGGCAGTGACCCCCCCTATCAAAAATTATTGCCCAGCCCTGTGCTAAGGGGAGGGGACTTGCAGGAAGGCTGCAAGGGGGGCGAGGAAATGTGGGGCGGTGCACGCCGCACGGAGCCTAGTGGCAGGGACGGCTCCGCTTTCCAGGCACGTCTAGCGCGATCGTAGAAACACGTGGCGGCCTGTGGCTGCAAAGAAGCGTTTTATGGCCAAATGGGGGCGGGGCAAACACCCGGCCTGCAGCAGACGCGCCGCGCAACACGAA